TCCTGCCACCTGCATTTGTGGGTGGCACCCTGCCCTTCTCTCCCAGGGGCACACTCAGGGAGGGGTTTCCTGTCCCTCACGGGCCCCTGTCCCTGGCCATGCTTTCTTCTCAGGAAAGAGCTCCCGGTTCCTGCTGCCCCATATCCCCAGAACCCTTTCCTCCTCGGGCACCCCAGCAGCAGGGAGAGATGGCCCTGGGTGAGCTTCGGCTGTGATGTAATTTCTGAAGCAATCATGGCCACTGACCTGGCCTCTTCTCCCTCCAGATGCCCCTGGAAGGACGGGTAGCCAGCGTTTCTGCATCCACTGCCCTCTGAGAGCATGGCCATGAATGAGTCCCTGCATTTGTTCCCTCTTGCTCCCAGCGTAAGGCTGCTGTCTCATTCTTGAAGTGGGTTGAGGGGGATCAAGGGCATGGCCAGCCCCAGATGACCCCAGAGCCTCTTGCCCCCGTCTCCCCAGATTGGGGCGTGCCACAGCACATCCCAAGTCCCCAGAGCCCCCCAGAACATCCCTGGCCTTCCCCTCACTGAGTCAGTGAGGCCCAGGGCTCTGTCTCACCTCGCCTTGAGGTTCTGCGCCGGGCCTTTACTGGTGCTCCAGGATCCAGCAAGAAGTCTCTGCTCTCTAAGGCCAAAGAAGCGAACTGTGGCTACACAGAGCACCCCCCTCCCCTGGCTGGGCCATCCCATCCTGGAGGCAGGACCAGACAGTAGAGGTGACTCATCTAAGACAGACAACCAACCTGCCAGCCCTCCAGCTTTGGGGGCACAGAGATTTCTTCCCGTCACTGGCTTAGTTTTCTATCAAATGAAGAAAATAATGCAAGCCTTTGTGAGCTCAAGGGATAGTTTTAAGGCTCAGATGAGTTGAGACCTGTGGAAAGATAAGTTAACATCAGGCTTTTTTCTTTTTCTTTTTTTCATCATTTGCATGGAAAACTTGTTGGTAAGTGGCCTGAGCCCACCTTTGACCAGGCTGCTATGGGGTGACGGTCATTGGCCCAAATTTCCTTGTTCTGCCAGGTGGCCCATAGTGTCAGCAGAGTGCTAAAAAGGCAGGGAGGGGGTGCTGGGCAGGTGGGGGCACCTCCCCTGGCGCTGGATTTTGGAAAGCCTTAGGCTTGTGCGCGAGCTCCTGAAGTGCACGCCAGCCCCAGTGAGGAAGTGGAAAGGAAGCTG